CAAAACCCAAGGGATCATTAGTGTGCTGCAACTTTTGCATTTCGCCCACAAAATGCAGTCAATCCACTTTACAATATATTCTGTGAAGCGCTTTGAGATGTCCTCCTGACGTGAAAGGCATTTCAACATGCACGAGGACCCTGGTTTAGCGTCTCAACCAAAGGATGGTGCATCTAACAATGCAGCCAGAGTGCACTGACACATATTGTTACATAATTGATTTGCGATTTTAATTCCATGTTCCTGCTTTCCTCAAAGCAGCTCGATGCTGCGATGGGATGGACGGAACGGTGGGTGTTCTGGAGAGATGAGATCAGATGGGCTGAAGGGCTTTCTTCATCCAAGTCAACCTTAGAAACACAGAAATGTACTACAACAGAAGGTCGTTTGCCCATCGTATCTGTGCTGGCTCTTTAAAAGAGCTGTCTGTTTAATCAAAACACTTTTCCTTCTCCCCCCCCCCACCCCACCCTCCGGACCCTATCACCATCACACACACACACGCACATACATACAACCTTTATTCGGGTAAAATTCCACCTGGGTCTAGATTTACTCTATTAATGTAAAATTTCTCAACATCACATTTTGCCATTTCAGACATTTCTTAAAAACAATACAAATTTACATATAGTGCCTTTACGTGGGAAGTTCCAAGGTGCTTATATTCTTGGGAGTATCAGCCTACACTAAGGCTGACATAAAGTACTGAAATGGGGCTTTGAACCCAAAACCATCTGACTGGGAGGTGAAAGTCCTACTGACCAAGCCAGGCTGACAAATGCAATCAAGTGAATAAACGAGGGGATACATTATTTTAAACAACACTACAAAACAACCAAGCCAGTTGATACACAAGCTGCATTTTTTAACAGTACAAGAAATTTTATTCAAGTCTATACATTTAGTGCTGAGATGAGTCTAACGAGTTGAGTAACACAGTAGGTTTAGCAATATGAACCAAGCCTGCTTGGCAATCTGGTGGGGGTTTGTCCGCCTTAAAACAATACAGCAAATGAATTCATTTGAGGGTTCATTCTGACTTAAATATTTGTTCTGTTCATCTTAAACTGACAATAAATTAATGCAAAAAAATAATTCAACATACACAAAGAATTAATTTACATTAAACAGGAGAGTGAATGAGACAGGCATTTGTGTTGGTGTGTGTGCGCGCGTGCATGTGTGAAAAAAAACCTTGTGCCAATTAAACTGAGAAACATTAAAAATAAAAGTTTACATCAGTCACAGTAACCACTTTAAATTGTAGCAGCATTAAATAACAAGTGCTTATGATATCAGTGCAATGTAAAATACAAAGAAACTGCACAATACATTTTTAATAAAAAAATAACATATTAATGATTAATGATTTTTTTAAAAATTAAGAAGGAAGCAGCAAACTCAGTGACTCAAATTGAAAGGTGGAGGAGCCCCGAGCGAGGAGATTCCTGCACAGGATAATAATAATAATAATCCGTGCATTTGATATCAGGTTAAGGGGATTTTGCAGAGTCCCGTCGTTGTACCTGCTTGCTGAAGCCAAGCAGTTGTAATGATTTGTGTAGTCACCGACTGTAGTGCGATCAGAATCAAGCAACTCAAAATACAGTTAATTCACTTGACAATATACCCTGTGAAACGCTTTGAGACGTCTCAACGACGTGATAAGGCTCTATATCAGTGAGTGCAACTTCTATATCAAATGTAAGGATTATTATTATTATAATAAAATGCTTCGAATTTAAAACAATTTTTTTTCTAAACAAAACAACGCACCAGTCAGCGGCAGGCAAAGAAGTTGGGACAGTGACGTCTGCAAATCACAAAGGAGCCATTTCATCTGAAAACCTCAATTCCAAGTGAATTGTGATTCTTGGGTTATTTAGGGTCGCTGCTGTGAAATGTCTTGCTCTCTCAAAAACCACCGTTCGGCAAAATGTATTTCACTTCTAATTAAGACGGGACAATGTGAGTGCAGCTGCAGGACGCTTTTCCCCCCAGTTAGTCTTCGTTGATGGGATATAACATTCACAGAGAGTCACGCGCACAAACTCTTTCATAGGACTTCCCAGCAGCACAGGCACTATCGCTGGCAGAAGCTTCAGACGTCTGAAAAACTCACAAGGCAAGTACAATAGTTTGAGGGGTGCCACGATACCTCACATGGAATACTGTATATTAAAAAAACCTGAAAACATTGCCTGGTGATTGAAGAGAGATCTGAAAAAAATTAGTGATTTCAGTTTACATTGGGTAATACAGAGGAAGACTGAAGGATTTGGCATGGAATTCCAGGATGCTTTTACAAGGGAATGCAGGGGCTTGGAGTCTCCTCCTACCGACAGATCATGAGCTTGTGACAATGCACTGCGTCAACAATGCAATGTGTGGCATCAGTCTACCTGTAAGCAATAAGAGACGTCACAACTTGGCCTGATTTGTGGTTTCAAGCCCCATTTCTGACATCAAGTCCACAGTCCAGGCTGACCCTACAGTGGCAGCACTCACTGATGAAAGAAAAGAGCAAGTGCACTGTGCTGTTGGGAGGTGCCATCTTTCAAATGAGATGTTAAAACGAGAACCCATTCGTACCCCTCGGTTCTTACAAAACAAGCTGTTCATTAAGCGCTAACCGTGTGAAGGATCACGTTGTCTCCAATCACAAGCTTGCACTTCAGGTAACTGTAGGCTAACCGGAGTCATAGGCTAAACACAAGGGACTTAACAATAGAAATTCACAGCACACAGCTGTATGATCCACTGTGCCTGTTCTGGCTCTTTGAAAGAGCAATCTGTTCCATTACATTTACCTGCCTTTTCCGCCTAACTGGTGGTTGGGGGGGGGGGTTCTGGGTTAGGGCGAGGATAAAACAGCCAGCATTTCTGCTCCTGATCAACATCTAGGCATCCCAACCACTGGAAGGTGCTTGTGCAGATGTCAAAAAGGACAGGATTGGACTCAGTGGATGCATTGATTCCTGGCAAATACTGTAAAGGCCTCACACACAAACAATGGCCACATACCAGAAGACATGGAACTGCACCACAAGATAAAAGGAGTCAGTACAAAGTGCCCAATACAGTCTTCACCCAAGGTCCACACGGCGCTTCCTAATAGGCTCAGCGGACAGCGGTCGCGAGTGGAAATCTTGGCTGGTTTTGCCCGTGTGCTGAAGCCAGATTATAGTCTCAGAACCTGGGGCAAATCAGTTAACCCTGTACTGGCCGGGGTTCAAACCAGGGATCGTCTCAGTCTGTAGGACTTCAGTGGCATCGACAACTGAGCTAGGGAGGAGTGGGTGGGAACAGTAAGAACTAGCAAAGGCCAATCCCCAGTACATTCCCCTTCAAACCAACAACTAACAATCATCCACACTGCTCACCTGGGTGGGGGAATCTGTTTGCTAACGGACTCTATGGCTTGCAATCCCTGCGCAGTTCCTTGCATTGACCGGCTGAGATCAGATAAATAGGGATTGTAGGTTTTACCTTTATTTTAACCCTGAGATGGTTTAAGCGTTGTCACAGGATGCTGTGACCATTTCATCATAATTGTGCTAAAAAATATTTAAATAAAAAAATCAGTCATTATTCCTGGAATTGACCTTGCCAATTCATCACTCTGTGTCTTGTCTCCTCTCTTATACACAGGCTTCTTCACAGTTATTGCAACAAACGACCACAAATAAAATCTCAATAAAATCTTAAAAAAACAAAAAATACAATCGTTGTGTGTATGTGTGTTTTTAAATATACTGAGACGTGCCTCTGTACAGCCCTGATGTAACATTCCTCGGAGCATTCACTCCAGACACTGGTAGGTAGGTCAGAGAACCAGAAACGGTTAAATGTTTAGCACGTCACCAGTGCAGTGCAGAGGGAGAGCACATGTGCACAGCGCTCGGGGTCTACGCCCTGCAAATACCAGTGTGTGCGGGGAAATGAATGAGATACAGTGCACACGGACTGCACTCGTACTCACAAGCAGCATTAAGCCTACATACTCTGAGCAAACAAAAGAGTGGGAAAGGAGAGAGAGAGCGAGCAAAAAATACCATCTAGTCACAGTGCAGTCTACCAAAAGAACAGGATGTTCCTCTCCTGCTATTTTCTCCCATTTCACACCATTAAAATACAGCAGTCTCTGGAATAAGTCTCAGTGCAGGATGTGTTCCCGAGAAAAAAAGCTAAATACTTGCGGTCAGAAGTACAGAGAGGTTAGACATTTGGAGCCGGCGAGATTACACTGGATGGCGAGCAGTTCTGGAGAGGATTGGCTTTGACCATGCTGGTTTGATTGCGACAGGGAGCACGTATGCAGCTTTTTTTTTTGTGCGGTTTATGTTCCAGGCCCAGCAGAATCTAAGTGGCCAGACAGACCGGTTCCATTTTGGCTGCACACACGAAGGTGAGCCCCTCTGCTTTCCCTCATCCTCTCTCTCTTTCTCTCTCGCTCCCTCTCTAGACCTGCCTGGAGGCAGCCTCACGCGGAAGAGCTATGGCGACTTGGACAGCGTGCTAGTCGGGAGGGATGAGACGAGCCACAGTGGATGGTAGAAGGGAGAGAGCGAAGCAGAACGGGTGTGACACACAGAGCATTTAACAGGCCACTCTACAACACCCGGCACCGGTCTGCTCCCACTGCCCTGCCCGAGCCCCCACCAAGGTGAATCAAATCGTTCGCCAGACAGTCCACGGGGGCGGGGGATTCTCCCCCCCTTGCCGTGCTCAGGACTCTGTGGTGTGTGGTCTGAGAGCAGCTCTGCGGGCTTCACCTCATTGTTTTAACGGGGACAATTCAATGGAGGGGCGGAGAGAGAAATAGACAAGCAGCGTCAAAACTGTACAAACACAGCTGTTGGTTTAACAGCTCCTGAATGGAGACTGTCTGGAGCTCACTTAGTAGTACATAAACGTGAGATCAGTCATGCTTTTGGAATCCGCTAACGTGCCGGCCGTGAAACTCGTTTAAATAGATCACAACATAGGAGTACACAGATTACTATGCTTTTTCATATACTCGGACACAGTTCGGATAACTGGCTCCTCCAGGATTCACACACACGGCTCTTTGCAAAATGACCTCATTGTAAGCTGGTCCCAGGAGTCAACAGAGATGCCTATGCGTAGAAACCGAGCATGGGGCAGACAGGGTGGAGTACAGACCTGGGATTATACGATGACGGACGGCACAAACCTTGGAGAGAATAACTCGATGAATCTCGACATTGATTTGGAATTGAGGCAAGTTCCTAAGGGTGTTTAACAGCATCATTCGGCTCGAGCCAGTTCCTTTGTCAAAGTGCATTCCCAGTGCAGATTCATGTGTTGGTTCCTGCTGTACCGCTAGGACCAGAACTCGTGCTCCAGCTCGAAGGCTGCAGTTTTGTGGGGTTTGATTCTGGCTCCGCACAAAGGCAGCGTCCCGTCCCGGCTCTGACCCTCCACGTCCGTGTCCAGCAGGGTCCGCTCACAGCTGCCAGTTCCTAGGTTGAAGGACAGGAAGGGGGAGCAGCCTGGCCTCTCCTCCATAGTGCCGCCGCTGCTGGTAAGGCAGGAGTCTGGGTTGGTCGGGGTCTCGGTGCTGGAGCTGTTGGCAGGAGAGCCGCTCCGTGTCCTGCTGGGGGACACGAACCACCAAGGGTCTAGGCGCTGGCGGTTAGGAGTGGGCCGGGGACGAGGGATGAACTCCAGCGTCTTAGGTCGCTCCAGCGTCAGGTCCAGTTTGGGGGTTCGTCTTCTGGGTGTGGGAGGGAAGACCCAGTTGGGATCTGGCAAGCGGGGAACCTCCGTGGGGTCTTTGTTGGGGCTCGGAGTTTTATTTATACCTGATTTAAACAAAAATAAATAAAACGTTCAGGCTGAAAGTTCGGTATTCTATTCGCAAAGAGGAGTCACAAATGCTACTTGTTAGCCTGACTACTTTGGCCACTGGGTTGTGGAACAATAAATAATCCATACATTTGATAAAGCACCTTATCACGTTGGTGAGACGTCTCAAAGCGCCTCACAGGATTTACCGTAAAGCGGATTGACTGTATATATTGTGGGTGAAACACGGCAGCCAATTGCGTACAGCAATGCGAATAATGGGTCATCCACAAAATACAAACTGGCTGCAGTTTTAACCAAACACTTCCTTCGGGAGCGAGATTGTTCTGATGGCACATCTGATCTGGCCGTGGGACTGCAGGCTTCCCTTCTCTCAGCCAGCACAGGCCTGCAGCATGTCTCCTTCACTTATCCGCACCACTATCGGTGGCCGAGCCTTCAGCCCCTACAACCATCCAATCTCTGGAATTCCCTGCCTCGATGCCTCTGCCTTGCCCTCTTTTTAGTCTATCAAGAAAAATCAATCAAGAAGAAAATGAAAACACACTACCGATCGAACATGGACTTACCTAGACATTTGTGCAAATGTTCGGAGGGAGGGGGGGGGCGGTTCTTGACGGCCCTGCAAGCCACTGATTGGCCACCACTGGTCTAGACCGTGAGCTCAAAGTCCCAAAGCAGAGCTTGAACCCACAACCTTTACAACTCACGACCTTCTAGCCAAGAGTACAACCAATTGAGCCAAGTTGAGTCGGTTGCACTGCAGAACCCTGGTTAATATTCAACTGCCCCACACCCACCCCATCCCCTCAAACCAATAACCCACCTTTAACCCAGTGACCTGATGAGAACCAACCTGTTACAACAGCAGCACTGAAGCCATTGGAGGGTGAGAGGTTGGGCACCAGTTTGATGGCACCGTCGGAGGGGGTCCGCCGGTGACCCCTGTGCACGACGGTGGCCGCGGTGACGTGGGTCGGGGTCAGCGACTGCTTCGGGTCTCGTTTGAAGCTCTCGATGGTGATGTCCACCAGGGGATTGGTCATGAACCTGGGCTTCTCCTCCACCCGCTTCTCCTCCACCTGCTCCTGCTCCTCTACCGAGTTAGGCGTGGCTGCAATCTCGTACACCACCATCTCCTCACTGTCCGATCGCAGCAGCGACCTGGTGGAGTTACACTCCGAGATGGAAGACAGCGAGATCAGGGTCAGGGAGGTGGAGGGCTCGGAGGAGGCCAAGGGTGGCTCCTCCCTCTTGAAGAGTTTCCGGGAAGGGGGGCTGATGCTCCTCTGGAGCCGGCCAGTGCGGTGGAAGATCCCCTCCTTCCTCCGCTTCTCTTCCTTTGGCTCCAGGTCCTCTTGCGAGATGCAGCACTTGCCCAGCTCCAGCAGGTCACAGCCCAGAGCCACCGCGGCCAGGACTGCCCCACACCCCACCAGCACTACGTCGCTCTTCTTCCTCTGCTGGCTGCGCTTGAGGCTGTTGGTGGGCGTCGCTTGGGGGGTGCTGGTGGCCGAGTTAACCGGAGTGGCCTCCTCATTGACATCGCTGACGGCTCCCTCCTGCTCCTCGTTTCTGGAGTATGGTAACGTGAGGTAGGAGTGGTTGGGTAAAGCAAATTGTTGCAGTCGAGTAAAGTCCTTAAGAGCCTCACTGTCTTCGTGCTCTGGAAGAAGAGAAGAAAGGAGTCACCCCTGGTAGCGAATGCTCAAGCACTCCGAGACGCCACCTAAGCAATTTTAGCCCATATTTTCCCATATACAATTCATTGAATTTCACTGTATTACCATCCAACCTCCCAAAAGACTCCTAACACATTGATCTCATCATCTGATAACCCTGAACGTTTTTAGTTTCTAGCAACTTCTCCAGCATCCTACAACTGTTTATAGCTCTTAATTCCACCATCCACACTAGTGGTTTGTTCCACGTCTATCACCCTTTCACTGCAACTATTTATCCTGCGCTTCCTATTCATTCGTTACGAAGCTCCGACCTACAGACGCTACAAGCATCCACCCAACTTCTGCGAATGGCACCACTTTGGACTCCTTCCAACTTGGAAGAGATACTGACACCGGCATTGCAAGGTTAGCAAGTTACCGAGAAGAAACGGACGTTTTGACATCATAAGTTGCTGTAAAAAAATATCAAAGTTAGTGTTATAGCGCTCCGAGACATTATCCCATGTGAAGGACTTTATATTAATCCACCATCTTATTGTTATTTTTATAGAATTTACTGTCACTGAACAGAACGCTTCAATGAAGTGTCTGCCCAGCGTCTCTATACAATCGCAGCAATGAGTCTCTGTACATTGCTGCTTTTACGTTGTGGACCTCTTGGAAGAGGGTGGGCGGATGAATTAAGATATGATTAATTGTTGTAAACTTGTGGAGACTGGCGAGAAGTCTCCCACACAGCAAGGAAGCCGATGGAAGCAAGCCTGCTGCCATTTTGTTCTGCTGATTTTGCCATTACCCATTTCAGTGAGGCTGTTGAACCCTGGCATCGGAGCCACTATCCGATGGGTCTTCCCCAGGTTGGGAGCACTGGACGACCACTGCTTGGTTCCATCTACCAGCTGTTTAAGACTTTGGGGAGAGAGGGAGGGAAACAAGAAGATAAACTCAGCAGCTGTCTGTAAAGAAGTGAAGTTCAATGACTAAACTCAAGCCATCATGTTTGTCTCCTTTATGTTTGGATTCCCCACTACCCCAGTTATTTTCACCCAGTTCCCTCATCTCCGTAAATTGGGTACAAACACCATTGCTTCTGGGACTGAGCCAGACATTATGTGGCAAGCCAGAAGGAGTCTGTCTGTCCCATAGAATAGGTCTGTCCCAAATGTTCATTATCCCTCACCCCCAATTATCACCACACACGTCAATCACGTACATCCGTCCCGTTCTTCTCCACCACCCCCCATAAGTGAGCCCCAATTTGACAAATAGAGGGCAGGTTTACAACGCAGATCACATAGTGGATGGTAAGACAAAATCATCTCTTACCTCTCTTCCACATCCTTTGGGTGCGATGAGTTGGCGCCCCAAGTCCTCCCTTTCTTTCTGGGGCCCTTTCTCTCTTCCTCGTCGCATTCGTCCCACTGGAACGCTGCATTGCGGCCCCAGTTTTTATTGCTTTCACCCGCCGTTACTATGAAGAGGTTAAAAACACGGCCGTTTGCCCCAATAGTTTCATCAGTCACTGGGATGAAACAATGTGAGGTTATTCAACATGGAGAACCTTTGGTTCAAAATAAATCACAACAGCACGGATTAAAAACATCCATTTGACATTATCCCAGTGCGCTTTCATCATTACACTGATGGAAGCCTTTAAATGAGTCCAGCACCCTACCCTCAACCACCCTCCTCTGGCAACCCATTTCCAGTTGTTAGTTACCCTCCGTAAGTAGAAATACTTCCTGGACCAGAAATTGCCCTTTACAACCCTGAATTTGCATCCTCTTGTTCTACAGTCTTGGAGCATCCAAAAGTATTGATTCTGGGTTTACGTTTTCAATGCACAAAACTGTTCACAATGGTATTCACAGCAGTCTGCTCATCACATACATATGCACGAATCATACACTCACATGACTGTTCACGAGTTACGTTCACCCACTAACTAGAGCCGCTCCATTTTACAGTATATCCCGTGAAGCACCTTGAGACGTCCTCTCTGTATGAAAGGTGCTGTATCAAAATGACAGGATTAGTATTAATCTCATTTAAAATCTTTTATGCCTCTATAAGGTGCCCTACAGGCATTCTCTCAGCACTGTAATGGAGTGTCAGCCTAAAATGTTAGCTCAAAGTCCCAAACATATGGTCCCAAGAAAAACAACTTGTATTTATACAGTGCCTTTCATGTAGGATAATGCCTCAGAGCACTTCACAGTGACAGGCGAGCAAGGGAGAAGGGGGAGGTGACCATAGGAGCGGTCGAAGATGCAGGTTTGAGTTGTGCAACCAACTGTATGAGGCTCGAAGCCTTGAACCAACCGATTCAGAAGTAGCAGGTGCACTGCTGGTGAAATTACCCTCCTCTCCCCACCCTCCACCCCTCGTGATCCCAACCACCAGTTTGGGTGTAGACCCCTGCTGTCCAGTGTCTTGGGACGTTCTCCTGACGTGAATGGCGCTATATAAATGTAATTTGTTGTTGCTGGTGGGCACTTACGCTGGATTGCCCTGAGTCGGGGGATGATGGTGGGGCTCACTGGGGGGCTGGAGCTGCTGCTGATCAGGCTCTTCCTCTTGTCCAGAGTCGGCGAGGCCTGCACAGTGATCTTATGCTGAAAATCTGAAAGAGGTTCCCAGAACAAAAAGAGTCACGTGAAAAATAAAATGTGAGGTGCAGTTCCACTGAACTGTGGGTTAGCAATGAGTTGGGGGAGGCGGAGGGAGAGATGTGTACAGAAAGGGGAAAGAGGCAGAGCGGGCACAGAGAGGAGGGGATTAAAGGGATGGACTGACTGAACGGGCTCTAACAAGGCAGGGGCACTGACAAGGAGGCCACTGATGGCAGAGGGCTAAAGGGGGCACTGACGGGAAGGTAGAGGGGGGTCTCTAACAGAGGAAGGGGTGGGGGGGGGAATAAAATGGCACCGATTGATGGGGGCGGCAGGTGGGCAGGGGAGGAAAGGGTACTGACCAACATTCCCTTCGCCCCCTCCCATCACTGTCGGTAGGTGGGGAAAGGGAAGAAGTGTAGAACTATCTGGGGGGCTGGGGGCAGGAAGATAAGAAAGGCTTCGGGGCAGCCGGACTCTTACCGGAGGGAAGACTGATTCGGTTGCCGTCTCTGAGCTTGAGGCGGCTCTTCTTGAAGTTGCCTTTGCGTTTCCTCACACTGGGCTTCTCGTGGTACAGCTGGTGGAAGATGATGTTGAGCTCTCGCTCCAGGATGTCGATCTCCCTCTCAGCCAGCTCCTGCTCCCGCCGCCGCAGCAGCTCCTCCTGGTTTTTCTGCTGCAAAGCTGCGCGGCTCAGCTCCTCCTCCCAGGTCTGCAATTCCTACTGACACAGACGGATTGTTAAGAGGCAGAACACGAGGGGTGGAGCTCCAGGTCAGAAACCGTTGTCTTTTGACACAGGATCAAAGCTACTTCACAAAGAGGAAAAAGGATTTGCCCACAGTCAGTCCCACTTTACAATATATTCTGTGAAGCGCTTTTGAGGCATCTCAACGACGTGATAAAGCGCTATACCAAGTGCAAGGTTTATTATTATTACTAAAATTGCAGGGTGTCTGGAGTGAGCTGCACAGTGGAGTTAACAGGTGGCTCGGGTGGAGGAAATAAAAGCATAGTGCAGCTTGGATGGGCTGAGTGGCCTATAACTGTGAGTATAACATGCAGTCTAATTCCTGCTCTTATATGCCCTGGCTCAGGTTGTCCACAGGGACCCCCAATCACCCACCCCCCTCCCCACCCCCTGCCCCATGCAAACACAGACTGAAAGACTTGCCTTTTCCTTTGCCCGGAGTTCATCAAACATTTCCTCGATCTCCTGTTTCCAGTCCTCCTGCAGCGAGTGGAAGGAATCCTGCGGCATCTCAAAGAAGCCAGACTCCTGAATGTCCGTGAGCTGGTCCAGGACACAGGGGAAGGGTGGCCGGTAGTGGGGGTTGGGGTTCCAGCAGTCTGGCACAGGACAGATACCGGCTTTAATTCGGGGACTACAAATGAAACTTGGTGCACTCGGTTTCTGAAACATTTTCTTCACTCCGCCATCATGCCAGGCAATGGAGCCAGTCAGAGTGTTACAGCACAGAAATGGGCAGTTCAGCCCGCCCTGTCTGTGCTGGGCTCCACTCGAGCCACCCCCAGCTTGGAGTCAGGCTCCGCCACTGTTAAGCGCTCTGAGACGCTACCCTGCGTGGAGGGCGCTATATAAATGCAAGTTGTTCTCGTTGTTAATTTAATCCCATTTTTCCACATTTCCCCATCACCCTGTAATAATAAAATAAAATCGGTCACTCACTTCACGGCCTTCCATGGGAAGGCGCTGCGCGTAAATTAGCTTCTACGTTAGCCCACAAAACACAGTCACTGTACATTACAGTATAATCTGTGACGTCCTCCCAATGTGAAAGCCACTAAACCATATGTAAGGATTGTTATTTTCACTGTGAGAAGATATGAATAACTGGCTCCTGACCTCTTCAATATTGAGATTAATTGTGGGCGAGGGGCAGTGGGGACGAAGCTCAGCAGTGCCTGAGGACATGGCAGCCAAGGGGTGGGGGCACAGCAGTCATTTCTACGAGACCATCACCCTTCCCGAACACTACCCCTCCCGCACAAAATGCCCCCCTCCCCCCACGTCCACCTCCTCTACAAGCTGATTCATAATGTGATTACGATTCTGTACCCAGGGTGACCACACTCACTCACCTTCCATCAGTTTGGTGAAGGACTCGGGGCAGGTGGATGGAATAGGCAGCGCCAGCTTGTTCATGGCCACGCCATAAGCCACGGCGAGGCCATCGATTCCCCTGAATGGCACCTCCCCGGTCAGTAGCTCCCACAATAACACGCCATAGCTGTGCATATGGAGGAAAGTGCTGGTTAATCGCAAGAATAAATTGGTCATTTTCAATCCATGACTGTTTGTGGGACATTGCTGTGCGCAATTGGCTGCCGCATTCGCCCACAAATTTACAGTCAATTCACTTTACAGTTTATTCTGTGAAGCGCTTTGGGACGTCTAGAAGACGTAAAAAGTGCTATATCAAATGTAAGGATTATTATTATTATTATTATTCTTATTAAGAGAGAGATTCAGATAGACGGCCCTTTGCCTAGTTTACTCTCAACCTCCGTTTACTCCCTTACTCGGTTACTTTTACTCCATGGTTGTTTGTGGGGCATTGCTGTGCGCAAATTGACTGCAGCCTTCACCCATAACACTTTACAGTATATCCTGTGAATTGCTTCCGGACGTCCCCCAGACATGAAAGTCACTATACCAAATGTAAGGAATATTATTATTACCACTACCATTCCCCCCCTCCTCCCCCATAAAAAAGGTGTCACATCACCGGCTGCTTGCTACGAGGTGCCATTAATTCATTCAAGAAACACTGAGCCAGATTCCATGCGCAAAACATGTTAGAAGCCTCCTGAAAGTAGATCAGTCTCTACGCTGTTGTTTTCTCCTGTTTATCTCCATGACATCACACAGCACCTTCAGAGGATTTCCAGTCAATTGTAGGGAGTGTGTATTCTGTAGGCATATAACACCCACATTTGCGCATGGCGGATAATAACCCTCGACCAGTGGTGTTGGGGAGGGAAAGTGTTGAATCCTGTACCTCCAGATGTCACTGCCTTTGGAGAACATGGAGGATCGGATGACCTCTGGAGCCATCCAGGCGTAGGTTCCGGCTGCGCTCATTTTGGTCGTTCTGTGCCACTCGCGAGCCAGCCCAAAGTCTGTGATCTTCAAGGTTTTGTGACTGAGGTCGTCATTCCCCACCGTCTCATGGATCAGAACTAGGAAGGAAAGCAGAGAGAGCTTCTTAACACGCACACATGCTCAGGCAGAGCACGAGATCAACCCAACAGCAGTAGACTATGAGGCCTGTGAGAGAGACATGCAGCAGGACTACAACTCCAGCCAAGGTCAGAAAAGCACAAAGGCCAGCGAGAGACCTCTGAGAGACTCAGGGACCTCCTTCCACTCCTCACAATTAAAATTCAGATCGTAATAATATGGACACAAAAAACAACAACTAACATTACATGCGCTTACCCAACAAAGTCACCCACATACACCTCCGCAAAAAATAATAATCCTCGTATTTGATATAGCACCTATCATGTAATTGAAACATCTAAAAGTGCTTCACAGGATTTTTACTGTAAAGTATAGCAACTGTGTAGATTATGGGTGAACTCAGCAGCCAATTTGGCCCACAGCAAACATCCACAAGGTAAATGACTAATTAATTTCATTAACAAGTTACTAAATATACAAAAGAATTAGGCAAAAATCAGAAGCCAGACTGAAATCAGCCCATTTCAGTGCATAGCACTCTCATCCCTGAAGGTTGTGGTTTTGAGCCTTGTACCGGGACATCTCGTGTTAAAGTGATGAGCTGTGTGGAACGACTACTGTTAGTGAGTGACAGCTAGGGCTATTCAACCTTGAAAAGGGATATCTTAAAGGGAACCCTATACGAGATGCTAAGTGGGATTGAGAAAATAAAGCCAGCGCAATACTCTTTTGTGATGCTGAGACAGCAGGACAAGAGGGCACAGGATCAGGGTTACGAAGGGCAATTTCAGGACAAACACAGACATTAATGTTACATATTACAGCAATGTTACAGGATGACCAGGAAAGGGTGGTCAATGCCAGCACACCGAACTCATTTAAGAAACAGCTCAGGGATGGAAATGAGAAGACAGCAGGGTGGATATCCAGGAAGGATGAGATCAAATGGATCAAGGGGCCTTTCTTCATCCAAAACTCTCATAAAATCTAGGCTGATACCCAGGTGAGGTACCAGTCAGAGGTGTATTTTTGTTTTTTTTCCACTGGGTGGCAGTCAATGCCATGGCTTTGGCATCACAGCGTATTAGCAGTGAGGCAGGGATGCTGATCGCAAGGTACCGAGAGCGACTTCTGAACTCGCACAAAGGGAAAGGCATTTCAATGCCACACCGTGTGCTTTTGTGGCATTCTTTTGAAAATATCATCACAATGCCAAGTGGCCAACAGACCCAAACAGCAATAGTTTGATGAATAAACAGCAAAGGGCATCTCCAAATAAATAAAAAGTTTTGCATTTGCTAATAATAATAATCCTTGCATTTGATATAGCGCTTTTCACGTCTTCTCGACGTCTCAAAGCGCTTCACAGAATATACTCTAAAGTGAATTGACTGTATATTTGTGGGCGAACGCGGCAGCCAATTGCGCACAGCAATGTCCCACAAACAGTCGTAGATTGAAAATGACCAATTTATTATTGTTTTGATTTTTGAAGGGATTATTATAAGGCGTGTGGAGTAAGGAAACTTGCCCAAGGTTTCGCCCTGCTAAGTGTACTTCTGTTCTATATTCACACACAGTCTTGAACTATCTTTACATGAACTATCTTTACACTGTGCAAATGAATCACAAGAGTATTAAGGTGACGAGGAACGTTTGTTCCACCCACACAATTACTGGGGTCGTGGATAAAGCTACTCACAGAGAAAGAGTCAAATCTACTTTACTGTAATACAGAGGGAGAATATGGGTCATATTTGTCCAGATAAGTGGGACTGAATGGATTGCTCCTTCAAAGAGCCAGCACAGAAATGAGTGGCTGAATAGTCTTTCTTCTGCACTGTTACTTTCTGTGGTTCTAAGACACAAGTACTGAAAGTGATGAGACAGTTTAGGTCAGGTCATATTGAAGCATTCACAATCCTAAAAATCTGCAAATAGACTGAACCCAGCAGGGAGAAGGCGAAGAGAGTTTGAATGCAACTACTGCACCTACCAGGGTGTAGTTAATATATGAAACAGACCACGCAGGCAGATAAGACTGTCAGCAAATTGGAAGAAGGAATTAGACAGCTATTTGATGAAATGATTGTATGAGAGACATCGCAGGACTCATCGACTCCTGTAAAACGGAATATTATCTTTGGTCTCCAATAAACATCTCTCTCTCTCTCTCTGAAAGCCAGTCACCCGACCATTGCAGCTGCCGTAGTCTCTAATCCTGAGCAAGTCAAAGCTGTTGTGACGTGTAGGAACTAAAACTAGGGTCGCCCATCGATCTTACAGCATGATTCACCTCAGTTCAGTGCTAATACTGTTTATAGGGATTCCCCAAGTCAAAGTACAACTTAGACACCGAACTACTGTACAACTTTAGGCTTTCAGCACGGAGATCCTATTAGGTCTTTCTCCCTTCCCACCATTAGTAAAGTTGTCACCCATTGTGAAACAATTCCATTCAGACCCATAAGATCTGTTTGGATGAAGAAGGCCCTTTAGCCCATCTGCTCTCATCCTTCCTGAAAACCCACCCAACCATCCTCCCATCACAAAATTCGAGCCATTTCTTAAATGAATCCAGTGTCCCTGCCTTGATTACTGTTCGTGGTAACCTATTCCAGACATTAATTTCCCTCTATGTAAAGAGATGTTTCCTGGTGTCTTGCCCTTCACATTCCTGCAACTGTGCTCCCTTGTCCTGCGGACTTAGCATATCAGAGAGGTTCGATCCCACGTTGTGCTGAGTTACTTCATCTCAGCAGGGTCAACCCTTGGCTGGCGCTATAATTGGTCTCACTGCCTTTAAGTTTAGGAAGAAAGCAGTGAGGAATTAGCCAAGATACCCAGGTCTCTTACTGGCCAGTATCTATAATAACAATAATCCTTACATTTGATATAGCGCTTTTCGCATCTTCTAGACGTCTTAAAGCGCTTAGTTGCTGGAAGGGAATTTTTCCCGTGTCCTGGCCAGAGGTCCTTCCATGGCCAACAATCCTCCAAATTAAATTGCTCACTCACTTCATGGCTGCTTGTGTATGGTGCTGTGTGCAAATTGGCTGCAGTGTTTGCCTACAAAATACACTGTCGCTCCACTTCACAGTAAATCCTGTCAAACACTTTGAGATGTGAAAGGTGCTGCATCAATTGCGAGAGTTATAGTATTCCCAAATGCCACATGGCTCAGGCATATACATTCAATCCAGAACATCCAACCTTGAGCACCAATAGTTCCAATCACATTTTTTTGCAACAACAAAAAATAAAGTTTAAAAACTCAATTGTTAGTTCCAGATCTAAATCTCAGAATTTGACAGATATTGAAGTGAAGATAATTATAAATGTGAATGAAATCAGCTGCAAAAAAAAAAGGCTGTGGGTTTTGATTCAAGTAGCTATGGACACCAGCCCTCAAAGTAGCAGCTGCTGAGCTCATCCTTGAGTAAAAGCCATTTTGGAAGCCAATGGTCAGTGAAACTTGGAGCCACCAGTCAACATAAAATGCATTTAAATCCAGATTACCTTCTCCATCTGTTAATAATGGAGCCTTGGACACCTGCTTCCTGATCACACAGTCGAGCAACCATGACAGGTATTACTTGCTCTTTAATAATTATTAATCAATAATCCTTGCATTTAATATAGCACTTTCAGATTGAGGTGGACGAGACCTCTGTTTAACGTCTCACCCGAAAGTCAGCACCTCTGACAATGCAGCGCACTGTGTTGGGAGTATCTGTTAGCCTGAACTACAAGCTCAGAGGCAACAGTGCAACCAGCTGAGCTTGGCTGAATGAGGGATATGTCAGTGTCAATGAATTAAAGATGGAAACCAAGTGCTTGCTTAGTGTGGAAATTCTTACAATTTCAGTGTAGTTCATAGTAGTTGTGGCCACCTGGAATAAGACCGAGCAGTTGTACGTTATAAAATACAATTGTGCTGTGAGGCTACATTAAACTGTAAATTGGGTCATAAAATTACACGCCCATCGATAAAATACTTTGATGTAGTTAAAGCTTCAGAATCGTTTCAAAGTTGAATATATTACACTGCGGTGTGTTGAGATCAGACAACTGGTTCAGCCTATTCCGTTTCTTTTACTCAGCCAATGTGAGCACTAAATAGTGAGATAAATAACAGCCCAGACAGCAAGACCTCATTTCCTATTAGAGCATCACCAAGTCACCTCCAGAATGGGACCTGAGCCAACCACTGACTTGAAGTCTCCAATGGGAACCTACTACACACCAGGCAGCAATTCAGTCAAAACTAGCACAGCAGCAGAAGGTGCGTATTTCTAGCACATTATCACGTCAAAGCACTTCACAGGTAAATGGTGCACAATGGATTGACTGTGATAAACTGTCAGTTCAATGTCCCGATGTGGGACTTCAACCTTCAACCTTCCCTACCAACCTGCCGCTCCCTCCGTTCATCGGGCTCCAGCCTGCTCCATGCCTCCAGCCCGACCCGCCCTACCATCGGTGGCTGGACTTCCAGCCTCTCTGCCCCCACACTCTGGAACTCCATCCCACGGTCCCCTTGCCTCGCTTCCGCCCTTGCCTCCTTCAAGGCCGGTCTCAAGACCCTTCTCTTCGACCGTGCCTTTGGTCTCCCTCCCACCTCTCTGCCTTCCCTCACCCCTACACCACCACTCCCGCATGCTCGGGCCCCGATACCTGACTGTTCAGTGCTTTGGGATGTCCTCCCAATGTGAAAGGTGCTCTATAAATGTAATTTTGTTGTTGTTGTTCTGACTCGAAAGTCGAGGGTGCTACTAATTGTGCCAGGCTTATTTGAAAGTTTTACCCAGTGTCCTGGCCCCAAACAAAATGATTTGGGTCATCTATTTTATGTCTGTTTGTGCGGTACCTTGCTGGTACAAAAATGGCTGCTGGCTTGCCTACCACAAGCAGATACTTGTGTCTGATGCCACTGAATCTTTAACGTCCCCCTGGATAGGTGGACGGGACTTCAGTTTAATGTCTCATTCAAAGGACCACACCTTCAACAATACAGCACACCCAAGCACTGCACTGATGTAATCTGCAGGATGAATATATGGGCTCCAAGTCCCAATGTGAGGCTTGAACTTCCCTCTAGATGTAGATTCCGTTGGAAAATTCCCGTGGTCCTTCTGGCTATATCACAAACTCATCATAGCAATGTGGATTCCATGCTGAGCCCAATGTCTGCACCGATGCAGTTGAAATCAGGAGATGAATGGCTTTCTCTGTAATCAGGTAATTGATTGGACACTCAGAGAGAGGTTTTGACCATCTAAACCAAGTACTGAGAATTACCCACATGTATGGACCACAGACAGCACAATGGGATACAACTGGAGTTTAACAAGCTAAAACTATACAGTTTGCCATTTCTGGTAAACTAACTGGCAAGCTTGTTACTTTGGCTTACAAAGCTAACAGGAGCAAAATAGAAAATACCCTGTCCTGACTGGTCTGCTCCTCCAAGTCCTACTTATGAGCCAGGCAGGCTGATCAGTCATTAACAATGTCATGGAGGACTGCAGACCTGCCTATCTCAGGTACAGGATTACCAAGACTCTCACACATTGTGTGGCCACTTGCGAGGCACAGGTTCCTCTCCATCTTGAACTACAGGGAGGGGGGGATTTGTATTTGATATAGCATCTTATCACGTTATTGAGACGTCTCAAAGCGCTTCACAGAATATATTGTAAAGTGGATTGATTGTGTATTTTGTGGGTGAAATATGGCAGCCAATTGCGCACAACAGTGTCCCACAAGCAGTTGTTACGCTGCTGTGCATAATTGACTGCCGTGTTTCGCCCACAAAAAATACAGTCGATTCACTTTACAGTATATTCTGTGAAGTGCTTTGAGACGTCTCGAAGACATGATAAGGCGCTACATCAAATGCAAGGATTATTATTATTATTATTGAGTGACCAAATTTGGTGGGGGGGGAGGAAGAGAGGGAGAGATACAGCAAGCAAACCAGTGAACAAGCAAGCAAGAGAGAGAGAGAGCAGTGATTTGAAACCACACACAAAGAGCCTTGGCCTATTCACGTCTGAGAAGCAAAAGCACCAGCATGCCAAGACTACCCAAGCTTTTCAAAGGCTTCTGGTGTGGCCACACGAGTGCTGCAGCAGACCCGACTGCACAGCTCATTCGCAGAACAATTGACCGTTCTTCAGAGCTCTTCAGCTATAACAACAGCACTCGAGAATGTTGGCACTGCTACAAGAAACCCATTTGAGGCCGCAGTGCTCCATGAATCATGTGCCATCAGCTGTAATGCTCAAGCATCTCTCAAGGGCAGCAACTTCATTCATCCAGGACAGCTAATTGCAGCAATATAGCATAAATGGGAAGCTAGTGCTTAGGATGAATGGGCCTCATTCTGTGCTGTAAATTTCTATGATGCTATACACCTTTTGTGTGTGGCTGATGGCTTATTGCTATGAAATTGTTCCTTCCACGAGCATGACTTTGGTGTTACTTAACTCAAAATGCCTCTCCAGATACACAGTATAAAGCACCAAATCTTACTATTGTACTCCTGTCTGTTTTTTTTCAAATAGACATTGCCTCAACATGTTTCATGCCTCCACTATTCTACTTCACCAAGGCACTGGCCCCTTGAACTACCATTATTTTTTAGATACATTTCAGTATCTCCAGTGGTGAGTACTTAACATTTACAGCACTTCCTGCAGTTTCCACTTCCCTTCACTTTAAATCTCGCGGCTGTATTACTGGCATAGGTAATGAAGATTGGGATATCAAGTCTCTCAGCTGCAAAGAGTGGGTATCCGTTACAGAGATAAATATGATTAGTAAGCTAAAGGTTAACAGATACCATGAACTCAATGACATCCAATGGTTTCCATTCTTTCTCCTTATTATACCCACATATGTAACAGCGAGCGAGAGAGAGTGTGAGAACTGGCCAGAGCCTGAGATCAAATTTTTGGCAAATTATTTGCTCATCAAAAGCTATACCCTAATAACTGAGCTACACTCTTAATCTCAGGCTAACTTCACCAATTTCAGAACTGACCATCTTCTGCCAACCACAACAGCATGCAGAGCACTTCACGTAGGATAACATCTCGAAATGCATCACAGCAACGGAGTCATAAGCTAAACTAGGAAGTGAGGTGAGGGGGGAAGAGGAGGTGATCATAGGCACAGTCAAAGATGCAGGTTTAAAGTGGGATTTGAAGATGGGAGTAGTGTAAGGGCGAGGCAGAGGGATAAAGGCAGAGTTCCAGAGGCTGGGAGCTTGATGACTGAAGGTTTGAACACAATGGTGACGCGGGCGCCTGTTGAAAATAACGATGGATTTTAAAATGATTTCAGACTAATCCTCAGGGAAAAGCAACGGTAACAGTTAATGCGGAGGTGTGCAATTTCAATTATCAATGTAACAGTGAAATTCTTCTGCTGCTATCAAGTGGGTTTTCCTTCTTAGTGTAAAAAAGCAAGGGATGATTTTGCATGGCTGCCCCTGCATCATAAACTGACCCTTATAGGCAACACGACTCACAACCTTCTGATACAGAGGTGAGAGCGCTACCAATTGAGTCAGGCTGACACTCAATGGACAAGCCAACTCAACGGACTAATCTGTCTATGAGTAAAGCACAAGTGATTCACCTCAAGGCAAACTGCATTCACCCTACAGCAATGGCATGGAGAGTTTATGAGGCTACTGTCCAATTGCCATTTCTGAGAGTTGCCATGTCAAGAAAGGGAGATCCAGAGGTTAAGGGTGTAGAATTGGAAAATTCTGCTACTGATGGAGGTGTGGGAAGCTCGAGGGATGCGCACCAAGTCTGAGTTAGCTGAGCACAGCTAATACGGAGGGACAGTAATACTTTCAAATCACAGAACTACATAAGATTATTAATGGGATTGAGAAAGTAAACCTGGAACAATACTTTCACAAAGACCAAGACAGCAGGGTGAGAGCTTCATGCTTGTGAATGATAAGCTTAGTGCAGATATCAGGAAGTGCTTCCATAAGCAGAAGGTAATTAACAGGTAAAATGTAACTAACAGCGAAGACGTGTTAGCACGGAGAGTGGTTGAGGTCAGGAAATTTAACTCATTTAACAAAATAGCTCAATGCTGTAATGGGAAGATGATAGGACCATGAAAGGATGAGATTAATTGGGACAAAAGGGGCCTTCTTTACCTAAACCGCTAAATAAGAGATTAAAAGTGGTTTCCATACACCTAAACAGAATTTACCCAGTACGTTGTGACACTACAGCATATGTATAGAATAGTCTACATACATACATACACTTAGAGAAACACTACAGAGGATAAAATCCATATCAGTTATTCTGCCCATTAAGCAGATGTTTAACTACCATGTAACTTTTATTAAAATTACAACGCATTGCTTCTTCAGTTGCCGTTCATTATCAGAGTCGTGCAAAGTGATCTGAAAGCAACGAATAAGGGTCTCGCTTCCAGAAGCTGCTATGTGCAGTATGACCAGGTCAGCAATCTTCCTTTTCATTTATTAACCGGGTATTGTCAGTCAGCAATACACAAACAATGCCCGGGGCTGTCGAACACAGGCTGGATAAACCCAGAATAAGAAGCTTTGGACAAACCGCTATCCTCCGTTTTCTCCCATACATTCCTGAAGATCTCAATTGAAGTACTCATTTGTGCTCAGTTTGGGGCACGTAACTTTAGGAAGGATTTCTCAACCTTGGAGGGTGGTGTTCAGCCACGGGTGACCAGACAAATACCTCAACCGAAAGGACGATGATCAGGGGATTGGCAGACTGTAGTTATAGTCCATAGAGCAGAGGAGTAAGAGATGATTTTTTATTGAGGTTTTTAAAATAATGAATAGAGTGGATGACTCTTTCTCCTAGGTAGAGCATCACAGTCTTAAAATCTAAGCCAAGTCACCTAGAACTGAGGCCAAGAAGCATTTCTTCACACAGAGGTGTGTGACCAGATAATGTCTTGGAGATCTTTATGGTCCTCCTAACTTGAAAGGTATTATACCAAATGTAAGGATTACTATTTAAAGTATTAAGTGCACAACGATAATGTATGAATAACTACAATCATCAATAATGCCTTCACAAATGGTTTATGGGGATATTTCGGAATTTATTATGGATTTATCATCAACGTTAACATGTGCAATGAGTTTATGGGACAAATACAGTCACTCATCCATTCTGTGTGCACAAGGCTAATTTTCAGCCAATCTACACTTTCAGGAGAAATTCCACCCTGGTATAGATTTATACTATTATTTAGAGTTTTAGAAGATCCAGAATTTGTCATCAAAAGGCTGCATAAATACTATAAATCTAGAACAACTGATTTGCGTTGTGAATTTCCCTCCCACAACAATCAACCAACATGTCCTCACATGGTTATATTTCAGCAATGGATAGTCAAGGACCCATGTACTTACTGTTACTGGATTTGAGGTCCCGGTGGATAATGGCAACGATTGCTTCTTCGTGTAAGTAATTCATGCCCCGTGCGATCTGCACCGCCCAGTTGACAAGTATATGAGGAGGAATCTTCTTGCCCGAGAGCACTCGATTTAAAGAGCCACCGCGTGCAAACTCCATGATCAAGCAGAGATTGGGTTCATGCAGGCACACGCCTCGCAAGGCGATGATGTTGGGGTGCCGCAGCATAGCAAACAGCTTGGCCTCCTGCCTAACGTTCTCAATGGTCTGGCTGATGTCCTCGTCCGGGTCCTGCCGGGCGGCTTTAACCGCCACCTCCTCAGTCCTCCAGAAGCCCCTGTAAACCTTGCCAAAGCCCCCAATGCCAATGATCTCCTCAAGTTGCAGTTCACTGAAGTCAGTCTCCAGAGGAGGTGGGTAGTCCTCGGTGTTCCTAACTTGCAGTTTGCTGTAACTCGGGGCACTGGTGACGTAATTGCTGGGAAAGATGCCGAGCTGGTTGTTGATTTTGCCTGTCCACCAGCCTTCATCTCCAGAGACCTTGAAATCCTAGACAACCAACAACAACATAGATTCAAGGATTACTCCACTGAAACAGACTATACCCTTCAGTCTTACATTATCAACCTGCACACTGTTTGACCCTTCCATTTACACTTAACACAGCTATCTAACATGCTCATTCATTCATCACCTTAACATACCGCTTTACTTTTTAAAAAAAAATATTTCCCCATTGTGAGCAAATCAAACAGAAAGTTAGATTTCAATCCTGGCAAGGCCTTTCAGCCATTGGCCAGATACAATTTGCTCAGTCTCTAAACAACTAAAGTCTCATTAGGTAACTTACAGATGGTTTCTTCAGTCCGGGTGAATCTGGAATAGGATGAAATAAGAAACAAAAACCTTCACGTAACTGATACTCCACTGCTGCTCACGTCTCTTCTCCCATTACTTATTGGACTTTGGGATGAACCTGAGGTCAACCTCAAGTAAACAAGATACAAGAGCAATTCCTGAGAACTCTTTGATCTGTACTGTATACATTATTTAAGAGTAACAGGACCACATGTATAGTTACAGTAACAATAATAAGCCTCGCATTTGATTTAGCGTTTTTCACGTCTTCTAGACATCTCAAAGCGCTTCACAGAATATACTGTGAAGTTAATTGACTGTATATTTGTGGGCGAAATGTGGCAGCCAATTGAGCACAGTAGTGTCCCAGTCCTGGATTGAAACAGGGTGAAGAGGAAAAGAATGGTAAAAGCAAAGAAAGAACACATCCAACACTAAGCCATTGTATGCCAAGCGACATCACAACGTTGGTGCATGAAGAACCCCCAATTGAAGACTTGCACCTCAGAACATTTTTGTATTGTAGCTGCGAAATACCCTGTCCTTTATTGGCACAAGTGGAGCCAGTGTATCTTTTGCTCATTTCACAAACGCCTCCACGTCTCTCACAGACTAAGTGCTGGCACTTCTCACAACCTTAACTGCGTATTTAATCCCTCCTAAGAGTATACTATGTGGTCAATGAAAAGTCAACTGATCGTTTTATCAAAAATACTTACAATTGTTAAATAAACAGCTATCTGAACACAAACCACTCCTCTTCCCCTCCCACGCGTGCTCTTAGATTTTTGTAAAAACAATGAAATGTATGAATGATTTGCACTTAGTTACTACCACATCTATGCTGTGTATCTAATTTACCCACATTACCTGGCAATGGCATACAAAGCAGACCATAATAATAATAATCCTTGCATTTGATATAGCGCTTTTCACGTCGGGAGGACGTCCCAAAGCACTTCACAGAAGACACTGTAAAGTGAATTGACTAGTAACTGGAGAAGGATACGTTTGCACAAATGCCCATATATATTGTACAATCGTGCAGTCTTGTACAAATTGGGGTTAAAATGTTCCAAAATGTGAACAGTGGCAGAGTAAAAACAATCCCATCCCCATAGAACACAAGTTGTAGTTAAGTTTCCCAACGATGTAATGGATAGTAGTCACTATAGGAAGCAGAAGGTGTCTAAACTGGGCAGCTTGTCAACAGAATACAGTGCAAGGGTGAATGCAGAATGAGAACTAAGATGCTATGGACATAAACCATATGAAGATGTTCTTAATGAAAGAAAGAAAGTGTAGAAAGCTGCACCTGCCTCAACTTCTGCCTCTAATTTGACTTTGGATTAATAGCTTTGTTGTGGAGAGAGGTGGGGTGGAGGTTGGGGTGGGGTTGGGGGTTGTGCACTCATTGAGTTGAGGGAAGTCCACGCAAAGAAATAAAACACTTAGCTATGTTTGCCACCCAGCGAGAATATCAAATGCTCTCAGATCAGGCATTGCATAGGTCAGAATTAATCTCACTCTACTTTGCCCCCAACACAGCAATTTAAGCCTGGTTTGCTGCTGACCAGAAGCTGCTAGAAAAACTAATACAATTTCGGAAGTCAAGCTCAACATTCAGGTGGAAATATTTTAATGTCGCTGTGCTCAACTTCATGCAGACAGTGAATGCCAGCAGGCTATTCAGTGACATGGGCATCAAATTTTGATCCTCTCCCCACCTAAGAGGCAACGGAGAGCAATCTGAACCAGGGTTCCTAAACTTTATTTTGTCCCCTCACCCACTCTACCAAACCACTGAGGCTCCCAGGCCAATTGCAGTCCCTCCAGCTAAAATCTGCTAACTCAAGCAGATTTGTCTGAATGGCTCAGTATCACACCACACAGTGCACTGATCCAAGGACTGTACCAGAACCACATCACTGCTCAGTGTTCTTAATGTCACAGAATATTTCTCATACCCATGTGAAAAGTCAGGCTGCCTCAGACTTCCTGAGAGATTCCTTGCTGCTGTACAAAGTGCTGTGACAGAGAATTTACAATCCCAGAGGTCTGCTGTTACAGCAAGCAGAACTATAAATTCACAGTGCATGTTACCAGAGAAAAATTAATACCTGCATATCGCTTGCTCTGAATCGCTGAGAGTAAATCAGTGCATGGGTTAGGGGAGGACGATCATCCTATTTCAGTCCGGAAAAGTAACTACCTGGAGTCACCAAACAGATGAACGCTGCAATCTCACGAACGAGTAGTTACAACTGACATTGTGACAGCAATAATGGAAGTGTTTCTCCATTTGAAACTGAATCCCATTATTTTAATTACAATCCTTCTACTAGTTTGTGCGGGAGATAGCAGCTGACATACAATTTGAAAATAGGGAGGGGAGTAATAAACTATGAGTGAGTGCTATAAACCACTTGACAAATTTCAGGACTGGCTTTAGCACTGGGAGCCATTACAATGATACCATTTCAACTCATTGTTCAGAAAGAAGGTAATTAATATACACATCTGACACTCCAAAATAGTGCAGGGGAGCGCTACATTGTCAGACGTGCCATCCTTTGAAGGAGACATTAAATCAAGTTCCTGTCTGCCTGTTCAGGTGGACATTAAAGATCCCATGCCACTATTTGAGAAGAAGGGAATTTCTCCCAATATCCTGGCCAAACAATGCCTCAGATAAATAAAATTGATCATTCACTTTGTGGATGTTTGTTGGACATTGCTGTGTACAAACTGGCTAGGGGTCGCCCACAGAATACACAGATGCAAGAATTATTATTTTTGTAAGTTGGATCAAAGACAACTGGGATCAACCAGTCCAAGCAATTATTAAACTACATTATCGCATTATACCACTTTGGGAAGGAATCAAACATCGTTTTCATCACAAGCGATACAATTGCATTTCCCTGACGCAAGTGAAAATTGTCATGGGACCAGGTTTATAAACAGAGACCAAAGCTATGCCAACTTCTACACTTGAGCGATGGTGCCATTTTAAATCACAGAAACACAATATTGATTTGAATAATAAACGCCCCTTGGCCAATTTCTCATATGTCATTGCTCAAACAACCATATCTGCTACCATATACAGCACATCCAAAATGCCCATTGACTACCAGGCCTTCCGCTAAATAAATGGCTTATTCAGCACTACAGCAATGATACCATGGGGGAAGAAGGAGGCAGGAAAGTAGTCAAGATACTTTGGGGGACCCCCAAACATTGGCTCTTGACAAATTGCACCTAAAATAACAGTAAGCAGGTTGGTTCCTCATGGGAGAGTACACAGACTCTACACCAGACAAATGAAAACCATATATATGTAGAACTTTTAGAACAGTTAGCACTTTGGAGACTCTTCAATGTGGTATGTGTAGAACGCCTGGCTTAACCAAAAGAAAATAGAAGGTGTTTTTTTTGGAAGGGCTGCAGCAAATAACTCTTCAGCATTGGACAACCTCTGCCCCTCCTCAAAATGTTAAAAACAGGTATCAAATGAATTTGCCATTCCTACCTCCTTCATTTTGAGAAGCCACCAAATTCCTCCTCCTATCATCAAAATGTGGGCTCTGCTGTCACTTGTTTCGAAAGCCCCCAATATCTTACTATTTTTCACAGAAAATGTAGCTTTCAGTTTTAGTTGCCCCCGCCTCCTGCCTTGACAGCAGTGTCCCACAAACGGCCATGAAGTGAGGAACTATTTTTATTTGTGGCTAGGACACAACAGGATCTTTAACATCCACCTATACATGCAGATGGGACCTTGGTGTGTGATGCAGTGAATGAATGTAAGGCAATCAGTGTGTGTGAATGTGGCAGTCAGTGAACGTCAGAAGTGTGAGTGAGTAGAGGCAGTGAGGCAATCAATGTGAGTGTGTATGCAAGTGCGGAGTGGCTTCAGCGCTTTGGGATGTCCTCCCAAAATGAAAGGCACTCTATAAATGTAATTTTGTTGTTGTTGTTGTGGAGTCATCATCAGTATGTCTAGAATGAGTGAGGCAGTTAATGTGAATATGTGTAGAGGGAGGGAGTGAAGCAGTCAGTATGAGTGTGGGTAGAGGGAGAGTGTGAGGCAATGTGTATAGGGGGAGTGATGTAGTCAGTGTACGAAGAGGGGTGAAGTGAAGCAGCAGTGTGAGTATGTGTAGAAGGAGTGAGTGTGTATAGAGGGAGGGAGTATGTGGCAGTATGTGTAGAGGGAGTGAGACAGTTAGTGTCAGTATGAGTGAGTGCGCGCAGAGGGAGAGAGTGTGAGGCAGTCAGTGAGTGCATGTACACATGAGACTGTCAGTGTGAGTGTCAGTGTGTACTGTACAGTGAGTGAGGCAGTCAGTGTGTGTATGTATGAGTGTCAGTGTGTACTGTACAGTGAGTGAGGCAGTCAGTGTGTGTATGTATGAGTGTCAGTGTGTACTGTACAGTGAGTGAGGCAGTCAGTGTGTGTATGTATGCATGAGGCAGATAGTGTCGTTGTGTGTGTTAATGTGTACTCTGCAGTGAGTGCGTGTACGATGAGCCAGTCAGCGAGAGTGTCAGTTTGTGCTGTACAGTGAGGCAGTCAGTGAGTGTGTGTGTGTGTATGTTTGAGGCAGTCAGTGTGAGTGTGTCAATGTGAGCAGCACAGTGAGTGAGGCAGTCCTTGAGTGTGTGCGTGTATGTATGAGGCAGTCAGCGTGAGTGTCAGTGAGCTGTACAGTGAGTGAGGTAGTCAGTGAGTGTGACTGTGTATATGTATGAAGCAGTCAGTGTGCACTGTAGTGAGTGAGACAATCAGTGTGAGTGTGCCAATCAGTGTGAGTGTGCCAATCAGTGTGAGTGTGCCTTGCAGTGTGAGTGAGGCAGTCAGTGTGAGTGTGAGTGAGGCTGTCAGTGAGTGTGAGTGAGGCTGTCAGTGTGAGTGTAGCAGTCAGTGTTAGTGTGAGTGAGGCGGTCAGTGTGAGTGTGAGCTGTAGTGAGTGAGGCGGTCAGTGTGAGTGTAAGCACTCTGTTGCTATTGTTTAAAACAATAATAAATTGGTCATTTTTCAATCTATACTGTTTGTGGGACATTGCTGTGCGCAATTGGCTGCCGCGTTCGCCCACAAATATACAGTCAATTCACTTTACAGTGTGTTCTGTGAAGCGCTTTGGGACGTCCTCCCGACGTGAAAAGCGCTATATCAAATGCAAGGATTATTATTATTATTACGCTGTAGTGAGTGAGGCTATGAGTGTGAGCTGTAGTGAGTGAGGCAGTCAGTGTGAGTGTGAGCTGCAGTGAGTGAGGCGGTCAGTGTGAGTGTGAGCTGCAGTGAGTGAGGCGGTCATTGTGAGTGTGAGCTGCAGTGAGTGAGGCGGTCAGTGTGAGTGTGAGCTACAGTGAGTGAGGCTGTCAGTGTGAGTGTGAATGTGAGCTGCAGTGAGTGAGGCGGTCAGTGTGAGTGTGAGTGAGGCGGTCAGTGTGAGTGTGAGCTGTAGTGAGTGAGGTAGTCAGTGTGAGTGTGAGCTGTAGTGAGTGAGACAGTTAGTGTGAGCTGCAGTGAGTGAGGTGGTCAGTGTGAGTGTGAGCTGCAGTGAGTGAGTGAGGCAGTCAGTGTGAGTGTGAGCTGCAGTGAGTGAGTGAGGCGGTCAGTGTGAGTGTGAGCTGCAGTGAGTGAGGCGGTCAGTGTGAGCTGCAGTGAGTGAGTGAGGCAGTCAGTGTGAGTGTGAGCTGCAGTGAGTGAGGCTGTCAGTGTGAGTGTGAGCTGCAGTGAGTGAGGCGGTCACTGTAAGTGTGAGCTGCAGTGAGTGAGTGAGGCTGTCAGTGTGAGTGTGAGCTGCAGTGAGTGAGGCAGTCAGTGTGAGTGTGAGCTGCAGTGAGTGAGTGAGGCGGTCAGTGTGAGTGTGAGCTGCAGTGAGTGAGGCGGTCAGGGTGAGTGTGAGCTGCAGTGAGTGAGGCGGTCATTGTAAGTGTGAGCTGCAGTGAGTGAGTGAGGCTGTCAGTGTGAGTGTGAGCTGCAGTGAGTGAGGCAGTCAGTGTGAGTGTGAGCTGCAGTGAGTGAGTGAGGCGGTCCAGGTGAGTGTGAGCTGCAGTGAGTGAGGCGGTCAGTGTGAGTGTGAGTGAGGCGGTCAGGGTGAGTGTGAGTGAGGCGGTCAGTGTGAGTGTGAGCTGCAGTGAGTGAGTGAGTGAGGCGGTCCGGGTGAGTGTGAGCTGCAGTGAGTGAGTGAGGCTGTGAGTGTGAGCTGCAGTGAGTGAGTGAGGCGGTCAGTGTGAGTGTGAGTGAGGCGGTCAGTGTGAGTGTGAGTGAGGCGGTCAGGGTGAGTGTGAGTGAGGCAGTCAGTGTGAGTGTGAGCTGCAGTGAGTGAGTGAGGCGGTCAGTGTGAGTGTGAGTGAGGCGGTCAGTGTGAGTGTGAGCTGCAGTGAGTGAGTGAGGCGGTCAGTGTGAGTGTGAGTGAGGCGGTCAGTGTGAGTGTGAGCTGCAGTGAGTGAGTGAGGCGGTCAGTGTGAGTGTGAGTGAGGCGGTCAGTGTGAGTGTGAGCTGCAGTGAGTGAGTGAGGCGGTCAGTGTGAGTGTGAGTGAGGCGGTCAGTGTGAGTGTGAGTGAGGCGGTCAGTGTGAGTGTGAGTGAGGCGGTCAGTGTGAGTGTGAGTGAGGCGGTCAGTGTGAGTGTGAGTGAGGCGGTCAGTGTGAGTGTGAGTGAGGCGGTCAGGGTGAGTGTGAGCTGCAGTGTGAGTGAGTGAGGCGGTCAGTGGTGAGGGTGAGTGGCTGCAGTGAGTGAGTGAGGCGGTCAGTGTGAGTGTGAGCTGCAGTGAGTGAGGCGGTCAGTGTGAGTGTGAGCTGCAGTGAGTGAGTGAGGCGGTCAGTGTGAGTGTGAGCTGCAGTAAGTGAGGCGGTCAGGTGAGTGTGAGCTGCAGTGGTGAGGTGAGTGTGAGCTGCAGTGAGTGAGTGAGGCTGTCAGTGTGAGTGTGAGCTGCAGTGAGTGAGGCGGTCAGTGTGAGTGTGAGCTGCAGTGAGTGAGTGAGGCGGTCCAGGTGAGTGTGAGCTGCAGTGAGTGAGGCGGTCAGTGTGAGTGTGAGTGAGGCGGTCAGTGTGAGTGTGAGTGAGGCGGTCCGGGTGAGTGTGAGCTGCAGTGAGTGAGTGAGGCGGTCCGGGTGAGTGTGAGCTGCGGTGAGTGAGGTGAGTGTGAGCTGCAGTGAGTGAGTGAGGCGGTCAGTGTGAGTGTGAGTGAGGCGGTCAGTGTGAGTGTGAGTGAGGCGGTCAGTGGTGAGTGTGAGTGTGTGAGCTGCAGTGAGTGAGTGAGGCGGTCAGTGTGAGTGTGAGCTGCAGTGAGTGAGTGAGGCGGTCAGTGTGAGTGTGAGTGAGGCGGTCAGTGTGAGTGTGAGTGAGGTCAGTGTGAGTGTGAGTGAGGCGGTCAGTGTGAGTGTGAGTGAGGCGGTCAGTGTGAGTGTGAGTGAGGCGGTCAGTGTGAGTGTGAGTGAGGCGGTCCGGGTGAGTGTGAGCTGCGGTGAGGAGCCGCCTACCTTGGACAGCACCTCCACCAAGTCCCCCTGGCGGAGGTTCAGCTCGTCCTCGGCGCTCGCCTCGTAGTCGAAGACGACGGTGCAGTACAGGCTGGCGGGGCCGCGGCTGCCCCGGTCCTCCTCCTCCTCCTCCTCTCCCTCCTCCAGGAGCGGCAGTTGCCGGGCAACGGCTCTGGGGGCCTCCCGGTCCGCGTGCCCGGCCCCGCCGGCCCCGGCCCGGCCTCGGCCCCTCTCCTCCTCCTCGTCTTCCCCCGCGGCCCCGGCGCCGCTGCCGGCGGTGGGAGACCTGACGAAGATGGCCTTGAGCTGCTCCATGGAGGAGAGAAGGGGGAGGAGGAGGAGGAGGGGAGGGAGAGAGAGGGGGAAGGAGGGAGCGGAGGAGGAGAGCGGGAGAAAGACGAGAAAGCCACCGCCGTGTCGCTCCTCCGCTCGCATCCGCGCGCCGCCTGTCCGCCCGCCCGCCCGCACCGCCGCTCGAACTAACCTGCTGGTCGGGGCGCAGGACGCCGTCTCGTCCCGCCCTCCCACTCTCGCTTCCTCGCCGCCGATTGGTCAGTCTGCCTGCCACTCCGGCGCCATCCCGTTTCCGATTGGTCGGCTGCCGCTCAACCTAACCTGCTGGTTCGCACGGTGGGGGGGGGGAGCCAGAGGAGGACAGCATCTCGTCCCGCCCACACACTCCCGCCTCCTCCCTCCCTCCCGCTCGCTTCCGCTGCCGATTGGTTCGTCGATCTGTCACTCCGGCGTTAGCCCGCTTCTGATTGGTCGCCCCTCACCGTCAATCAACTCACCCCCCACCCACCGCCTTTCACCCCGCCTTCCCCGCCCGCCCGCCCGCCCCCCAGGGACCAGTCTGAGCAGATTGGGCGGATTCACACCCAATTGGGCGTTTTTTTCGTTGCGCTGCACATTTTTAATTTAAAAACAATCAAACCTGCCAGACGTTGCTGCTGCTGTTGTTGTTCCATTTGAAGTCCTTTCCCTACACAGTTTGAAATGCACTGACCTCAACTGGGCTCTCTGCTACTCCCCCCCCTCCCCCCCAAAAGGAGGGAATGGCTAAATATTGGGCTACTTTTGGGCTAGTCTTGGGTGGACTTTGGGCTACATTTTAATTTCTGGCAATCCCTGGCTTGCAAAGTCCCCTGGGATCAGACCTGGACCCTGAGCTGAGCTCTGCTTTTCTCTCTTGGAGTCCCTCTCTTTCTATATATATATATATATATATATATATATATTTTTCCACCCCGGCTTCCTGGATTGCTGCATGCGACCAGAAACCATTGCATTGAATAACATGCAAATACTCCTCTTTTCTCTCCCACCCCCACTCAGATCATACATCACTAACCACCCCCTGCGATTTCAGCTGCTACTTCTGTTAAACACACATTTCAAAAAGCTCATTGGAGACATCTTCCAGGGATGAAAGGCGCTATATAAATGTAAATTGTATTGCATTATTGGGAATGTCAGGTTATTTGGAAGCGAACAAGCCATTCCCTCTCTCTCGCTCCCCTCCTGCTAGCACAGTGACCTCAGATAGCTGCAGGAGGTTTGTCATAGGAGGTCGCTGCGGGACTTAAGGTCTGGTATTGGTTTAACTTGAAAGATGATTATACCCCACTGCTTCTCTCTCTCGCTCTCCCTCTGCCTTTCTCTTGGATTAAATGCCCTTTGAAGGCACACAGTGAGGCAAGTGCTTCAAAGTCACAGTGCTTTTTGGAGAGGGGGCTAATAATCGGAGTTATAGAATACATGGATTCCTGAATAGTGGTTCAACCACTCGGCTGCCTCGCGAGAGGACCTTGGTTTGATTCCCGGGCAGAGCAAAATCTTGGGCAAGTTTCCTGCCCAGAATCGAACCCGAGTCCTCTCTCTTGTGAGGCGAGGAGACCGTGCTAACCACTACGCTACATGACTTAAGGTCAAGCACCCTTGATATTTAAACTGGTGAGAACAGCTCTCATAAGTCGTGTAGTTTTTACTGAATACATGATTGCACTGCACCTTTGGTGCCTAAGTAACAAGAATCATAGTATAGCACTGGCACAGGGTGGGAATCCAGATCATTGGATCATTGTCTTATGGCTTGGAAGAGCTGAACACACTTCTTGTTTATAAAGTCAAACAAATTTGGGGCTCAAAGTCATCCAAAAGGGATTCTATGTATTTTTTTAAAAACAGATTACCACACAACTGTGCATATGTACTATCATTAACTGTGAATTACCCACAATAACCAGAAGAATGCATAAAAAGTACACTACCCACAGCATGAGTTTCCATGTACGTTCCCGTTGCCTTCAATGGAAGACATAGAGTTCTGGTTCAGGATGCCACTAGCAGATACATTAGTTCTATTAGTTTTTCAATTAAATGCCTTTATTTCATACAAAGAAAGTAGTGTCATGACTCAAGAGGTGAGAGTGCTACCCAGTGAGCCAGGCTGACATCTAAAACTGTTGCAGTTTGGGGGGACTTTGTTGGGAGCCCTAAATGCTCTGAATTTATTCAGTCAAACTGAAGCATGAATTGCTCTGGTAATGTCTGTTAAAGGGATCACATTGTAGGCTATCTACTTTCTACCATTGGTGTCAATCATTTGATCCAGATTGACTGCAAGTCACCACTCACTTTTTTGTTCTCAGTTTTGGATCAATCTTGGCTCACATTGAAAGGATCAAGAAATTAAGTGGGATAACTTACAGGTAGCTAATTGTCCACAAGTTTCGCTTATAGGTAGTCTGTCTGAAGCCCCGTCACTGCACAAGACACAGTTGTAAGTTTGATAATGCAGAGGCTGCAAGATAAGCAGAATTTAACTTGAGGTGAAATATTTAGAGGTCCCACTGGCATTCTCGGCTCAAAGAGTGTTAGAGATTCTACATTATAGCTGCCCAGATAAACAATCCATAGCTAACTTGGGTGTGGAGCTGAGAGAAGAATTTGAGCATTGAACCATGGCGTGACTAGATATTTTGTAGTGAATGCAGCAGCCAATTTGCGCACAGCAATGTCCCACAAACAGCCATGAAGTGATTGACTACTGATCAATTACAAAAGCTCTCCGGGACACTACCTTGTGTGAGGGGTGCTGTATAAATGCAAGTTGTTATTGACTTCCTGCCAGTAGAAACAGCCTATATGTTAATCTTATCAAACTCTTTTATAATTTTGAATACTTTTATTAGGTCCTCCCTTAAACATCTCTTCTCTAGCAAGAAAAAGGCTCAACCTCTTCTGCCTATCCAGATAGCAGTAACCTGACAGTCTTGGTATCATCCTTGTAAACCTACACTGTACTTATTATTATTGTTGTTCTATTCTGTGGTAATGGAACTCCGTGGCTGTTTGTGGGACCATTGCAGTGCACAATTGATTGCCGCATTTTGCCCACAATGCACAGACTTGTGCTCAGAAGAGGGAAGGCGAACAGACAGTTCAGATTTAATTACGTTACGGAGTGGGAACTGTGCAGAAAAGACTCTACCCAGGGAAGTGGTAGAAGCAGATTGTGTCAGCAAATTACAAGAGGAAATTAGACAGCTATTTGGCATTGAAGGATAGAGTAGCATAAGATTCATTTGTTTGTTTTACTGTTCAATCGCACAAATGGACCACAACGGGCTTCTTGGCTTCAGAATGAAAGAGAGGTTACAAAAGAGCCCTTGCTTTGGTAAGTGACTGAATTGGTCAATTCAGAGAAAAAGTCTGACACGTTTACGACAGGCTTTCTCTTTGGTAGTAAAACAGCAATGTCTTTAATGAAAGAACAGCGAGAGCCAATGACAAACAGAAAGGCAGCAAGCTGAATACAGTGCCAGATTCAGAAAATGTCATCATAATAATTTGAATAACTCTCACATTTAATTTAGTGCTTTTCATGTAGGGAGGACGTCTCAAAGTGCTTCACCCTGTGAAGTAGAGTGACTGTGAATTTGTAGGTGAGCATGTCTAAATTTAAAACAACAAATTCAAAACAAAATGCTGCACTGACCATTTCAATTTGATGTCTTCCCCCCATCAAAAATATAAAAATATACTGGCAGAAACATAAACAGTAAATACATAATATATAAAAAATATACAGTCAATCAACTTTACAGTATATTCTGTGTAGCACTTTGAAATGTCTCAATAACATGATAAGGCACTATATCAAATGCAAGATTTATTATTATCATTTATTATTATGGGTAAAAGAGTCTTCTGTTCCAGATAAGTGTTATGTATTGTTTTATAATAATAATGTTTGGATTTGATATTGCGCCTTATCACGTCATTGAAAAAATCTCAAAGTACTTCATGGGATTTACTGTACAGTGTAGTGACTATGTATTTTGTACGTGAGCAAGGCAACCAATTGCAGGAGCAATGCCTCGCAAACAGCCACAATGTGAATGACCAATTTTTTATTTTGGGGATTGTTGGCCAGGACACCAAGAATCTCCTTTCTCTGTTTGAATGGTGGAATGGAATTTTTAACATCTAACAGAACAAGCAGGCAGGACATTGGTTTTTAATGTCTCATTTGAAGGACAGCACCTTCTACAATGCTGTACCACCCCCCACGACCGCTCTGTAGTGTTAGCCTGGATGATGAGCTCAAAGTCTGGAAGCACGGTTTGAACCCACAACCTTCAGAATCAGAAGAGAGAGAGCTACCAAATGATCCAAGGCTGACACCTATTTTATTGAAATTATTCCTTGTAAAGTTATAAAGTCCTCCAAAACTTACAGAAAGCCAAAAATATACAGTGAAACCCAGGAAATCGAGTGCGCAAATGTATCCTATTAGTCACCATCTGTTGTGCTGTATTGATTCCTCTGTGTGGAGATGGAGTTATTGTGAAAACCTGCAGCTTCATAAAATCTACAGATCATGGAATCATAGAAAATACAGCACACAAGGTGATCATTCAGCCCATTCAACCTATTGCTGGTGATAACTCTACTGGAGCTAATGACTTAATCCCAACTCTGCACAGAATTGGCTTGACGCTATTCAGTTCTCATAAAGCCTACATAGGGCGCGCAAGTCAACAACAGCCTGGCGCACTGGTAGCACTCTCGCCTCTGAGTCAATAGGTTGTGGGTTCAAGCACCGCGTTGGGAATTGGAATCACATAGTCCACGGTGACACTCCACTGCAGTCCTGGGGGGGGTGTTGCATTGTTGCAGGTACTGCCCTTCAATGACTTTAAAACAAGGTCCCGTCTGCCTGTTCAGGACATTGGTTTAACATCCCCCGACGGTATTCGAAGAAAAGGGAGTTCCTCCCGGTGTCCCAGCAACAATCCCCCAAATAAAAT